TGTTTGGCACAACAGTAGCAAGGACCGTACCATGATGAAGATGATTCCGTTCTTCCTCCTGCCGTTTCAAGTAGTCAGACAAAGGCTAACTCATCAACCTGGGAACGCGCTATTGCTGAGAGGTACATAATTAGCTATGCTCAAGTACCGACTTGATGGATTTTTATTACAACTATTATTAATATTGTTTGAAGTAGGTTTTGGTGGAGTCTTTTGGTTGGAGTTGATTGGTGGGATGTCGTTGGCTGTACACAGAGTGCTGCTGAGGATGGCATTGGTAAACAAACTTTCACCAACTTTTAATTTTTTGACCCAAGTGTGAATCATATTTTTCCTTGGCATATGCATTTTACATTTACCATCTATGCTTATTTGATGTTCATTGTCCTTTTCAGTTTCTTTGAACAGTGTGATTGCCGTCTTAGATGTGGATTTTCACTCTCTTCCTTCTATTCAGCACGGGCAACAGTATGGACCTGTATGTCTTTCATTAGCTTTATTTTTGCAATATCTGGTCGGCTGTTGCTTTTGAAATGATTAGTTCTAGTTTGTTATTAACTTTGCTAATTATGACCTGGTTTAAAGAAGCTGTGACAAGTGCCTAAACCTAAGCCATCATGCCATCAGCTTCTTGGAAAAGAACCCTCCCTTAAACCAGCACATAACAGAGAGAACCAACAAAACAAAATAACCTATAGAAAACAAAATCGCAGGAGAAGCACTCGGACACTTTATCCATTCAACAGCTTTACTACTATCACTCTCCACCAATAGTCTGCCCCTTGAACTCCACCTAGACTTGAAAAAGAATAATATTCCTGCTTGGATAGCCTTTAACTCTGCCAGAATTGGATGTTCAAAGCAGATGAATAAGAAGCTTGAAACTTTGAAATTCTCTGTACTAATTCTTCCATTTGCTTGAATGTTCAATTTTATCTTTACTGAGCTTAGTTGATTAGTTTTATTTATTTCATTTTACCTGCTTGTTGAGTTGTCTTTATACTTTGCAGAGTCTGGACAGGATAAAGTGCAGGCTACTGGAAGGTACAAATGCCCAAGAGGTTAGGGCAATGGTTCTAGATATGCAAGCAAGGTTGTTGCTGGATATGCTAGGGAAAGGAATTGAATCAGCTTTGGTTAATCCTTCAGCCTTTGCAGAACCATGGCAGGCATCTGGCGAGACGTTATCCAGCATTGATCCTGAATCAATGGCTGTTGATCCAGCCCTTGTTCAGAGTATTCAGGTGTTACCTCTATGTTTAACTTATCTGCAGATATATTGAGTCTTTTGTTGAGCTGAAATTTTACTTTTGAAATAACAGAGTACCTGCTGTCCATTCTTTTGATGTTTCTTTATTTTTCCCCCTTTGTTTCACTTATAAATTAGCAACTTTTTTGTAGTGCAGCATAAGGTTATATGGTGGGTCTCTGATCATGTTGTCAGACTAGTGACTGTTTCCTACCTAAACAATTCAAATCTCGGGATTTAAAAATACTCTTATATGTTCTACCACTAGCACTTTCTTTCAGCAGGGCTAAGTAAGCTTATATTTTCCGTCAATGCAATATGCAGGCTTATGTTGATGCTGTTCTTGATCTGGCTTCACATTTTATTACGCGTCTGCGACGTTATGCAAGTTTCTGTCGTACGTTGGCAAGCCATGCTGTTACTGCAGGTACAGGAAGCAATCGCAATATGGTAACAAGTCCTACCCAAAGTTCGGCAACTCCTGCAACTATTGAGGGTCGGGGGCAATTGTCTTTTGATATTCAAAATTTATTAATAGAAATTGTTTTTCTTCTTCTCTCTGCTCTAATGGGTTATGCTGAAGAACTACAAGTCTCTGTTACCCTTCTCGAATTGTAACTTCAAATTTGCTGTATTTATATGCCTAAGCCAACCATGTTTTCACAGCTGGTCAAAGTGGCACCACAAGTTCGACCGGCAGCACACAGATGCAAGCTTGGGTACAGGGTGCTATTGCTAAGATTAGTGGCCCAACCGATGGGGTCTCCACTTCAACTCCGAACCCCATAACTGGCCCCTCTTCCTTTATGCCAATAAGTATTAATACAGGAACTTTTCCTGGAACACCTGCTGTTAGGCTCATCGGGGATTGCCATTTTCTTCATAGACTATGTCAACTTCTACTTTTTTGCTTTTTCTTTCGACGAGCTCTACAACCTCGTTTTGCACCAAGAAATACTGATGCATATGCACAAAAACCTCAGCCCGGTGCTCCTGGGAAAATGGAGGAGGTCAATTCTGTTGCTGCTAAGCCAACAATTATTACTAGGCCTGATGAAGCTCAAGGAGCACGAGGTGGGCAGTTGGTACCCAGAGGTAAAGGTGCTGTGGATGGTCCTGCTGGAAGATTAAAGATAGGTTCTGGAAATGCTGGTCAAGGATACACTTTTGAGAAGGTAGTATCTGTGTATTTCCATTACGTACCACTCTCACCAATTGTTGTCTCTAGATAGAATATTTGGGTAGATTTTTGGAATATCATGTTCATATGCTGAAAATGTTTCCTTATAAACTGTGTTCTGGAGTCCCAAATAATGTTTAGGATTCTGCCTTGAGGAATGGCTGCCTGGATTGATATCTTGACATAACAGGCCTCCTATGTTGCTCTGCAGGTGAAGGTTCTTTTCCTCATTCTTATGGATCTCTGTAGGCGCACCTCTGCTGCAGCACGCCCATTACCAGTTTCTCGGGTGGGGAGCAGCAGTATCCAGGTGCGGCTGCATTATATTGACGGAAATTATACAGTATTGCCCGAGGTGGTTGATGCATCCCTTGGCCCACATATGCAGGTAGGTAGATTTAATCATGCAAGTTACGAGACCTAGTTGCGTAATGCTGTCAATAATTGTTGGGCAGTTCATAAATACTGTAACTCATGATTTGCATTTTGTAGTTAGTGAGACGTACTGATAGAGCTAGTAATGTTTCTACGTGTAGTTTGCTATGGATATTGATAGAGTAATCAATATGGGTATCTATCGTTCTGTTTCCCTAATCTTCTGAACCTACAGAGCACGTGGTAGATTTTATATTAATGAAAGCAGTTTTAATTTGTATAATGGAATCCTCTTTAGAAAAAGTAAAAAAAAAATGAAAAAGGATTTAGTTGAAAGTTTTTGTGCTCGTAGACATTAGATATTCATTTTGGTTCTTCTACACTTAGATATTCTAATTATTTGAGTTCTGGATTCCGCAGAATATGCCTCGGCCTAGGGGTGCAGATGCTGCTGGTTTGTTATTGCGAGAGTTGGAATTGCACCCCCCATCGGAAGAGTGGCACAGACGGAATATGTTTGGTGGTCCATGGTTCGATCATGAGGATATGAGCTCAGATGATAGTCCCAGGCTAAGTAATTCCGTTGACTTGATAGGAGCACATTGGAAAGTTCTAATGTCCACTATGGAGCACAAACCCTCTGGCCAAGGAAGCGTCGCCTGTCTGAAAGAGATGCAGCATTTGGCTTAAACACTTTGTTGGTCTGGGTGCATATCTTGGTATAATGGGATCTCGACGAGATGTTGTGACTGCTGTGTGGAAGACTGGTCGTGAAGGTGTTTGGTACAAGGTTTGAATTTACTCTCAACTTCTTTGTTTGTCTATGTCAGTATTTACTTGCTCTAGAGTTACCACACGGAACCCTTTCAATTCCTATCAACCAGGACAGGGAAGATTTCTTGTTCCCGCCTTGTTGATAAATAGAATTCATTTAGTTCATGCATGATTTTACATGTTCATCAGTACTTCGAAAATTGTGGTGTCAAATAGAATAAGATATGACAGGAGCTTAGACTGGTATTTTGATTGGAAGGACAACTTATTTTAGGTAAGACGCTTTTTTTTGAGATAATGATATGTGCTCCTTTTGTCGGCCACGGCATAAGTGCTGGGACAGAAACGAGTCATTCCTTCTTCGTTCCCGACTTCTATCGTTGACTCTTTCTGATGAACTTCCTTTTAATAAAAATATCTATTGGTGTATATTGTGCAGTGCATGAGATGCTTGCGGCAGACCTCAGCTTTCACTTCCCCTGATTCTCCCAACCACCCTAGTCAAAACGAACGGGTGAACTGGTGGATTAGTCAGTGGGCCTATGGATGTCCGATGTGCGGTGGACCTTGGGTTCGAGTCGTGTAGAGGATGCCTGCTGAAACATTGATTCTTTATCTGGGATTCATCTCGGTTCCTCTTTTCTACGTACGGGTATGTCTCGGAAGAGAGAGCTTTCGGGTATAGCCCTCCATGGCTTTAGAAGTTGTTGCAGTTTAAGCGTAAACATAGAAACAAATGATTGGCGCATATTAACCCCTAGAACCTGTTTCTGTATAAAAACTTGTTTGATAAAATGATTTTAGGTTTTTCTTTAACATACGGCAAGTAGAACGTTGATTGCAACGGGGTTAATAGATTCCTCCTTGATAATCTGTGCTTACAAGGCAACCCAATGATTGTATAAATGTAGAGCCGTGAAGTGGAAGATCAAAAGTTGACATTATTCTTTTAAAGATAATATCTTGGATTTTTGTTTTGTTTTATTGGATTTAGAGTTATATTTATATTTTCAGTTCGAATGATTTCAAGTTAGTCGAGTAAAACATTATTTTTATCTTAAAATTAACGGAAGTGGGTTAATATGTAGAAAATTGACTAAATTATTCTCTGAAGGCAGCCGTTGTCGTTTTTTGTTCAGGATACAAATGAAGTGGATACACATGGATAGTTTAGGGATGTGATGTAGTTGAGACGACTTGAGTTTGATTATCGTTGAGTTTAACTCAATTTGAACTTGAGCTTAACAGCTCAACTTGAAAGGTTCAAAGTTGGATTTAATTTGATTTCAGGCTTTATTCCAATTTAAAATCAAAAAAGAAAAAAAAACTCGAGTGAACTATGTACATTTTTTGATTTAATTCGGTTTGAGGTTTGGTTAAAGATTATTGCTAATCTTTGTATTTTGCGACACTTAAAAAAGTAAACAATTGTGACATTGCGCTAGCAACATAATAAGTTCAGAGTCAAATTAGTAAGGAAATCCAATCTCATTAAATGTCCAAAACGAACTACTTAAGAAAAGGGTTGAGTTTGATTAATGGTACGTAATCTTTTCAAGCAAAATATCAAATGGTAATATGAACTACAGTAAGAGATCAATCCTCGAGGAAAACAAAAAACAACGGGGGCAGGAAAACAACCATGGTAAATGTGCCCCGCAAGCAATTAAGCTGTAGATGTTGCCTCTGGTTCCGCGACAGTTTCGTCCTTGGCAGCGGCGGTAGCAGCAGTAGCATCCTTGGCAGCGGCGGTAGCAGCAGTAGCATCCTTGGCTGCGGCGGGAGCAGCAGTAGCATCTTGTTCGGGAAAGGAACTACTTGCAATGGTCGCAGTGGTGGCGTCTTTTGTAGATGAAACAGTTGCTCCTTTTTCTGCAGATGCTGCCCTGTTTGATGAAGTACTGTTTGCGTTTTTCGCATCTTTTCCAACTTTAGCATCCTTCTCTGGTGCGGGTGGGGGCGGAATCATGTGAGGTGGGGGGGAATGCTTCAGCTTCACAAGAATGTTCCGCAATCTCGAAAGATCGGTTGGCTTTCCGGGCTTCGGTCCCTGAATGACAGTAACTGATGGCTTCTTGTCTGCGTCCTTCTTTCCTCTTTTCTCGATATTAGGGACCTCACGAGGAATGAGTTCTGCTATCGCGGTCCAGTACTGTTTATCCGCAATCTTATGGAACTTATCTTGGTTAGCCACATACAGCTGCTCCAAGCCCAGAAGAAAATCCAGTGATGAGATAAAGCTGGCATTATCCAACGGCATGAAATGACATTTTGTTCAATATATTACCTTCTCTCTTTCTCTGTTATTAGTCTTGTTGGTCTCAATGGTTTTCTCCCGCTTCTCATAGAATGCTCGCTTATACTCCTCAGCTTCTTCGATAATCTGGTTCCGCAACTCCTTTTCCTTCTTCTCCTTCTCTTCAAGCACAAGGGCATTTTGACTGCAAAAACGAAATTACGATCAACAATTAAAACCTTTGGCTACTAAGAGGTAATGGTATTTATACGAAGAAGGAGAACAGAAAAGTTTTCCCATAAACAAGTTATTAGAGGTATTAATGTGTTAGGCTGGATTTGGTAACTTTTCTTTGCCGCAACAAGGCCAGGCCTAAGAGCCCGTTTCATTATTTAATAACAATTAGAACCTTTTATATTTTCATTACATGAATAGTAAATTCAGCTAGGTCGGACCAGACTGGATTACAAACGCTTTTCTGGACCAACAGTAACTTGATCTGTGAATCTATAGTTCAACTAGTATAAAATACAAAATAAAAATAGTCTATCTAGAAGTAATACTATAGTGATTAGAAACGTATTTCAGGAAAACCAACAAATATAGTAAAACACACCCTAAGAAGCAAATCGAGATCATCTCTGATATAGGATAAAGGACACATTAATTCAAAGGTCTTCCGAGGAAAAACTCAACCAAAAATTGCAAAAGTGAAATGTTCATAAATGTCATGAAACTATCATGCCACAGCAAGCTAAGAAACAACTCCGCCATAAATGAATACAATATAAAGCACTTGGGACATTTTCACGATTCTGGAAACCATAACTGCAAATGTTGAGTTCAAAATGTGGAATGTCACAGGAATAAAAGTCATAAGAGGTTCAAAGAAAAGCATTTAAAACATTATATGCTTTCATAGATATGAGAATATTCTCAGGATCTACAATAAACAAGGTAATTATTGACTGTTCATCCTCTTTATTATCATTGTGAAATATAGAACTACCCTATTCTATCCATCATAGCCTGGAAGAAAACATGTTTTTCAACCTACAAGAGATCACGTGGGAACTACAGAAAAACAACAACCTTAGAGCTGTGAAATATATTTTCATATCATTGAGTTTACTGTGACAGTACAATAATGCAATTATCTGTAAACAATATTAATGTGCAGGCAACGGTGATTGGATCTTACTTTATTCAGAAAAATATTCAAACATCTTATTGGAAAATCAACGTGGATCTGAATCTGCTCGATCTACTGGCTAATAAGATCATATAAGTAGCGATCACATTCAAAAAGTTCCCTAATTTGAGCATCACAGCTAATAAACTCTTATGGATTATAATGAACCGAACAATAGACCAATACAAAAACAAATCTAACAAGAACAAATTTGAACCTCATAAGGAACATATATGAAACGGCAAAAACTGGCTAATTGACTCAATGTTTAAAACCACGGCAGATCTAGAAACACGAAATGACCATTAACAAATTTGAATTGAAGTTAAACTTAGTTCAATCAATGCAACATCAATTTGCAGCTGATTCAACAGCATTGCAGATCTAAGCTGAGAAGGATTGCTAAGCTAAAAGTACCTATTTAAGAACACGAAATGATCAATAACGAATTTGAATTGAAGTTAATCCTAGTTCAACCAATGCAACAACAATTCGTATACGACTCAAAATAAATGCAGATCTAAGCTGAGATAGTTTGCTAAACTAAAAGAACCGATCAAATCAAATCCACACAAAATGTCAACAAATCAAACGATTTAATTATAAAAAGTAAATAAATTTCAACTACTAACCGACGCCATTCACGAAGAAGGAATCCTTCCTCGGGAGCCATCTCAGTAGGAGGAGGAAGCACCGGTCCATCAGAAGCAAAAACGTCATCGTTTCCACTAACGAATCCGTTCATTCCGTTTACGTTTCCATTTTCCACATGAATCGTATCACCGAAAGGAGATTGCGAGTAAGCAGGGGACGGATCGGAGGATCCGAAGTCAAAGATCTCGGGTGAAGAAGCCAATTGATCCACCGCCACGTCACCACCGTCCGCTGGAAACTGCTGGTTGTCGGTAAAGTTGGAGTAAGAGCCGTAATTGGAGTAGCTCTCGTCGTCTACTTCGAAAGGATGGTTATTTGGAGCTGCTGCTGCATGAACCTCTTCTCCTTCCATTCCGTACGCATCAAAGGAAGCCATTTTTCTCGGTAAAGAAAGATAAAACGAATCGAAATGGGGAATTTTTAGCTTACAACACAGAGAGAGAAAGAGAGAGAGTTTTGTTTCTTCTTATCAATAATTTTTTTCTTTATTTTTGATCTTTTATACTAAACGTTGACGGCCGACGGAACCGGACGGGACTTGATTTTGGCAAGAAATTAAAGACATAATAACTATTTTGACCTCTCAACTTTATCAGTTTAATTATTATAACCCTTACATTTTTTTTATTTTAAAAAGGAAACAATTGACTCAAAGTGACAAATTATTAAAATGAGTTATTTTTTTCTTATTGAAATGTCGGAATTAGTTATTTTACTGTTTGCTTTCACTATACCATTAAATTTTAAAAAATAAAAAATTGTCAAAAAATAATTTAACCTTCAATAAGAATGAAATAATTATTTTCTTTTCAATTTTGTGTTGAGTTGATAAGAGAGGACAAATAAGCTGATGATATCTTAATAGTATCGTTACTATTTTTAAAGGGTAAAATTGCTAAAGTGATAAAATTAGGAAGTTGAAAAGGTCTGCCAAAAGAAATCAAATGAAATTACTTGTTGATCCTTCCTTCCATTTGAAAGACAGCTAAACGACGCAGTCTTCGATATCTTTGGTGGCCTTGTCTTTTGAGGAATAAGTTCACTTCATGCATAATTTTTAAGTTATAGCTAAGCTGGTACCCACTTATCACCATCACGATTTTTATTTAAAGTGAAAATCATTTAAAAATATACCCACAGTGATTATTGGTACTATTTTTCCAATTATATCGTACCCTAAATATGTTATCGTTTAATTTAAAGTGGTAAAAATTTCAAATGTTTTTAGATTAAAAAAATTAAAATTAAAAAACCTTTCACTATTTACATTTAATTAGAAACAATTTATTTTTCCATAAAAAGTTTTATAGCGGATCCTACCGTTATTTAGATTTTTTTATTTAAAATAAAAATAAAAATGCAAGCCAGAATCACTAGACGAAACAGCCGAGACTAAATGAGATCCAAACTCGTATAATCAAAATTGTAGTACAAAAAGTCAGTGAACTAAGCGAATTTCACCAATTTCAGACACAGGTTTGCAAGAGTAATTTTCACACGTACTGACAGATATATATGGCAAGCAAACCAGTTAGTAGGGGGTCCTAGACTCTATGGTTCAGAAATAAAGTTACTGGCTATAATTGGACCATGTCTCACATGAATTTGGCACTCTCTTTGCCACCTTGTCGGAACCAAATGAGCGTTCATCCCCGGGAAGGAATAACACAGTCAATGAGAATCCTCGGTTGCTTCCGGATGATTCATGTCATGAAATCTCATCTGTTGGGGTTCAGACGTCATACAAGAAACACTCGAAGTTAAACAGTTAACTTGGGTTGGCAGGTCTCAATGGCCTTCACCCGTTGTCCATATTACGTACTGTACAGATGTCACAACAACTGCTACACTATAAAATGAGAAAAATCTACCAAAAGGGTTTTCTTCAAGGAACCGGAGGAGCATTCTTGTGATATCTACCAGAAGAAGGCATCCTCTGTAGACCTCGCGAAAAATCCGGCTTTAAGCGTTTGCTTTGCATGTCTTGCAATGACCTTGTCCAATATAAACGATGATACATCAAATAAGAAAACGTAAACGAAGCAACAATGGCTTTTCACCAATAAATGAGATCACATACCTTGGAGAACCCTGACGTTTCTGAGTATATTGGCCGCCGAGCACTGATCTTAGACTTCCAAGGGCTTTTTCAGCAGCCTAAGGGCGGGGATAAAAGTGCCCAGCCAGAAAGAAAAATTATACCATAAGGAAAAAACGAGTCAAACGATAAAATTTTGTGAATCAATAGACCAAAGGTATACCTGCATCTTAGCCTCTTCCCACGTGAAACCGATACCTTTTCCTAAAACCTGCCCATCTACTTCAACCTAAACCATAAACCAGAACACACAAACTATTGAATACAGATCCCCCAATGAATTCAGCAAAAAGAACCATTCTTGGATAGACCTTAAAAAGAAAAGTGAAATGTGAACCTGTGCATATACTTCATCTTTCTGCAATGTATTTGATGCAGATGGTGGCTGTGATTGGAAAGCTAGCCCAAGGCCCTCCATCATGCACTGCAGACAAACCACATATTATCAGTCCAACCTAAAGACTATATTAATGCTAGCAGTCGCACATTTTGAAGACTAAAAAGACTAACGAGATCCTGAGATCTTACCAATTCTTTAAGTGCGGTGACCGAACCCAGAGATTTCCTGGAGCCTTCCAGCCTTGGATCAAGAAACCTAGATGGTTCCGGTGCAATTGAAAATGACATAGATTCATCTTTAGACAATGGCTGGTTCCCGTACAAATTCAAATTACCAGGAAAGCCATTGTCAGTTGTGTTGGCCAACCTTAAATCCCCTTGTGCGGACCCATTATCAGGCTTAGTACGTGACAAATATGTATCTGTAAGTATATCATAAGAGAATCAGAATCATACAAAGAACACTAGAAGAAGAGAGCCTGAATATGGAAAGCAAAACAGAAGCATCTCAAAACAACAGAAACAAAACCAGCTAAACACATAACCACAAGCTTTGAAAACAATCTAGTGACAAGTTCTGAGGCAGAAATGTTTTGTTCAGCTAAGCAAAGCTGAAACATCAAGCAATTTTATTTGTAGATTACTACCACATGTTTATATAAAATTAACCTAATGCATAATATAAGGTCAAAAAAAGTTAAATGCAGTTCTCTTATTGCTGGAAAATATACTAATCACTGTAGTAGTAGTAGTCTTGTTCATTGATAATTATTATTATCAATGATCTTGTGCATTGATTATTATTTTTATCCAATTTATATTATAGAATTTCAGCAAAGCAGAGATTAAGGTGTAAGATTGCTTTTAGGTTTAGCTCTTTTGCATTGTTTATTATTATTATTAGCCAAAAATGCCAATAGAGGTGATCTCAACCCATCAAATTCAGACTTCAGTACATGCTTGTAGATAAGAATAAATATAGGAAGAGATATTACTAGCTAAGCCTTTTATGGAATCCTCTGCAGCCTGACGTTGAGCTTCTCTTCTTGTTCTCCCAATTCCTTCACCAACTTTCTCCCCAGCAAACCAAACCTACCGCAGGCAAGAAAGAGGATGAGCCAAAGAGTGACCCCATATCAAATTTTGAAATACCAAATGAAAGCAAACCCGATAACATATTCAAAAGAGATAATTTGTGAACAAAAAGGTCATAAGCTCATAGAATGAAAAAGTAAAAACTGATTTAAGTCGGTGTATATAAACCTCAATAGAGAATTGCAGGTCCATGCTAGCAACTAAAGCTGGTCTAAATTCCACCTAAAAGATTTAGAAACAAAATTCAGAAGCAGTTGGCATATGGTGAAACCATACAATATTTATAACATAAACATTACGACCTGGCTCATGGTAGAAATTACTTCCAAATTACCTTGGCTCCACACTTCATTGCAATATCTTGTAAGACTCCCACTGGAGTTTCTCCACTTGGAACAGTTCGTCCAGATTCGAAGTCAAGATCCTTGTGACTAGAAGTTGACCGACCAACGGGCATCTCCACACCTTTGAAATGTAGAACAGTATAGGAAATCAGACAAAGATATAATGCATAGACATAGTGTAGGAATTATAGAGATATGATTTGTTATGATTTGATATCATTCCTTTAGTTAAGGGATTCTGTACATATAATTATACAATCCCTTATTTTAAGGGATCACATCCTAGGATTAGTATCTTTTCTTTCTTAAGTGTTTCCTACTTTAGAGAGATAATTTGCTATTGAAAATAATATGAAAATACAGAGAATTACTCTGATTTCTACATCGTATCAGATTAGGTTACGGTTTCTTTCCAACCTAGACGATGTCCACAACTTCTTCTCCTACTCCGGAGATCACTTCGAATCCAGAAAATTTTTTTGGTTCTACTGCTCAATCAGAAGGTAATCTGGTCATGAAAGAACCAGAAGGTAAACCTCATGCTACAGTTTTTTTCTCCTCCCAGTTGACCCCTAATTGGATCCTCGATTCTGGTGCTACGGATCATATGACTGGTAATAAGGATTTGTTTTGCAATTTTTTTCCAAACTTTGGTAAAGCTATCAAAACGGCTGATATGGTTCTTTGTGCAAAATAGAAGGACATGGCACTGTTATTCTCAATGATCAGATTGTACTTAAAAATGTCCTCTTCGTACCAAATTTGGCTTGCAATCTCGTTTCCATTAGTAAACTTTCCACTGACTTGCACTACTCTGCAATTTTTAATGATATTGATTGTACTTTGCAGGCATTGAACTCGAAAAAGATAATTGGTAAAGCCAGCTTTCAAAATGGTCTTTATATTCTTCCTGCCTCTACTAAAACCGAAATCTCGAAATCTTTCACCGCTTTAGAAAAAATTGATAATGTTATGTTATGGCACTATCGTTTAGGCCATCCTAGTTTCCACTATCTTGCAAAAGTTTTTCCTGCTCTATTCATTCATAAAAGGCCAAATTCTTTTTTTTGCAAAGTTTGCTCTCTTGCCAAACATACAAAATCAACTTATTCTCCTTCTACATATAAGCTTTCTCACCCTTTTGCTTTGATCCACAGTGATATTTGGGGCCCTTCTCGGGTGAAGAATGCTGATAATTGTAAGTGGTTTATCACTTTCATTGATGATCACAGTAGGATAACTTGGAATTATTTGCTAAAAGATAAATCTGAAACTGCTGGTATTTTTACCCAATTTTATAACATGGTTCTCACTCAATTTGGGTCTAAAATTCATCTCTTTAAATCTGATAATGACAGTGAATTTTTTGTTAAGTCTTTGGGTGCATTTTTCAGGGAAAATAGCATAGTTCAGATTAGTTCTTGTGTTGACACCCCACAACAAAACGGCATTGCCGAAAGAAAAAATAGACACCTCCTTGAAGTTACTCGTTCTCTTCTATTTATCACTAATGTTCCAAAATATTTGTGGGGGGAAGCCTTATTAACTGCCAGATATTTAATCAATCGAATGCCTAGTAAGGTTTTACAATTTCAAACACCTCAATCTATACTTTTGCAATACTTTCCCCATTTTAAACCTATCTCCTCTATTCTTCCACTTAAAATATTTGGTTGTACTGTTTTTATCCAAAACATTGCTCCTAATAAGTCCAAGTTAGATCCTAAATCATTACAGTGTGTACTATTTGGGTATTCTTCACTTAAGAAGGGTTATAAATGCTATCATCCTCATTCTAAACGTTTTTTTACCACTATGGATATAACATTTTATGAGCAGGATCCCTATTTCACTCAGGCTAAAATTCAAGGGGAGACATAGAAGGATTTTCAGCCACATCAGGTATCTCCTCCTACTCTTCATTCTTAACCTTCATAATTGCCACCAATTTTGTCTTTACCTACAGATTTGTCACCTGTAACTACTCCCATTGATTCATCTGTAGTACCTATCACTACTTCACCCACACCTACTTTAAGCACACTTCCTGAAAACACACCTACTCCCATTCAAAATCTTCCACAAACATCACCAATCAAACAACTTCGTGTCTATAAAAGGAAAAGAAAACATATTCCTGAGGTTGTTTTGCAATCTGATGATTGCCGAGAATTGGATTTGGGTCCAGCTGCCGAAATAGAAGAAGAAATCAGTAAGTCCACTTCCCGTACTCTAGATGACTTCCCTATTGCTATTAGAAAAGGGGTTAGACAGTGCACCAAGCATCCTATTGAAAAATTTGCTGGTTATAATTCATTGATGCCGTCTTTTCAAGAATTTACAGCAAACTTGGATAAAGAACAGGTTCCCACAAGCATTTATAGCTGAAGCTCTAAAGGATGCAAAATGGAGAAGAGCTGTTGAAGAGGAAATTTGTGTACTAGAGAAAAATGCTACTTGGACCGTTACAGACCTTCCTCAAGGAAAAAAGACTGTTGGCTGTAAATGGATCTTTGTTGTAAAGTATAACTCCAATGGTAGCATTCAACGATACAAAGCTAGACTAGTGGCCATAGGCTTTACGCAAACATATGGGATAGATTTCACAGAAACTTTTGCACATGTGGCGAAGCTGAATGTTGTTCGAGTACTCCTAAGTTTGGCTGTAAATTGCGATTGAAAATTACCAACTTGATGTAAAAAAACGCTTTTCTTAATGGCAAGCTAGAAGAAGTCTATATGAAGTTGCCACCTGGCTTAAAGTCTGTTAAAGGAAGTAACAAGGTGTGCACGCTCAACAAGTCTCTATATGGATTAAAACAATCACCCAGAGCTTGGTTCGAGAGATTCACTAAAGTCATTATGAAAAACGTCTACAAGCAGTCCCTCGCCGATCATACTCTTTTCATCAATGTAACTTCTACAAATAAGAAAGTTATCCTTATTGTGTACGTGGACGACATAATTCTTATGATGAAGAAGAGAATTGCAATTTGAAGAAGTTGTTAAATGAGGAATTCGAAACCAAAGACTTGGGAAAGCTAAGGTATTTCCTAGGAATAGAGGTGGCAAGGTCAAAAGGACTTGTAATCAACCAAAGAAAATATGTACTTGATTTACTCAAAGAAACTGGTTTTCTTGGTTGTAAGTCGATTGATACACCAATGGAGGCCAGCTTGAAATTTAGCAAAGAAGATGGGTCCTTAGTAGACAAAGAGAAATTTCAAAGATTAGTTGGGAAACTAATTTATTTATCCTTGACAAGGCCAGATATAGCATTTCCCGTAAATTTGATAAGTCAACACATGACTAATCCTACTGAAGAGCATATGGCAGCATCAAATAGAATTCTCAAGTACTTGAAGAAAACTCTAGGACACGACTTAATGTTTAAGAAGACACAAGACAACTGTTAAATTTTTTACAGACTCTAGTTGGGTCGGAGACCTTACTGAAAGGAGATCCACTAGTGGCTACTGCACATTTGTTTGGGGTAACCTTACAACTTGGAGAAGTAAGAAACAATATGTCGTTTCAAGTAGTGATGAAGTTGAATTCAAAGCACTAGCATTGGGAATATGCAAAGGAATTTGGCTACTTAAACTATTGAAAGAACTTGGCACTAATCAAGAGGATCACTTTGAAGTCTTGTGTGATAATCAATCTGCTATTCAAATTGCCAAGAACCCAGTTCAACATGATCGGACAAAGCATGTTGAGATTGATAGGCATTTTATAGCTGATCAAGTTAACAAAAAGACAGTCACACTTTCATACATTCATTCAGAAGAACAAGTTGCAAACATTCTTACTAAGGCTTTGCCAAAGCCTGTTTTCAATAAATTCCTATTCAAGCTGGGATTATACAATGTATATTCTCCAGCTTGAGGGGGAGTGTAGGAATTATAGAGATATGATTTGATATCATTCCTTTAGTTAAGGGATTCTGTACATATATTTATACAATCCCTTATTTTAAGGGATCACATCTTAGGATTAATATCTTTCCTTTCTTAAGTGTTTCCTACTTTAGAGAGATAATTTGTATATAAAGGTGTAATTTGTCCTATTGAAAATAATATGAAAATACAGAGAATTACTCTGATTTCTACACATAGCAACCAATTATCATTCAAACTGAAAGAAGATAAAAACATATCATCCTTCTCAAAAACCTATAAAAAATTATATATCAAAAAGAACGTAATTATGTCTGGAGTTTTAAGTAAGATGAAAACCTGAGTATAAACAATAAGAAAGTTCACATTCAGTTCAATGGGTAATTAATTGCTTCAGCTTACCTGAGAAAGAATGATAACTAGACGATGTATGGTTTAACCCCAAACGATCATCTCTATGAAATGCCTGCAAATGAATTATGCTCAAAGATAACTATGTTTCAACAACAAGAGATAACTTTAACCTTCGACTTTAGCATAAAAATCCTGGCTTTATGCCAGGCCATCACAAAAAACCAATTACCTCTTTTGATAATCTTTGATTTTCGCGATGTCTATCCGATGGAACAGAATTCTCAGCCTTAGGGAAGAAGGGAGGGAACCGATGTTTCTCGATATGCATTAGCTCAGAATCTAAATGAAAATCTTTGGAAATTGCTCGGTTCAGTTGCCGTGGGCTCATCTCCTCATCAGCAGAAAACCAACCCCCACGGGATTGAGCACGTGAAATTGGAACTTGCATTGCAGGTCTTGCAGGGAGGAATGCAGGTTCAGGTGGTGTTGCATCTCTGGTATCTTGCCCATGTTGCAATATCAGAAGTCTCCTCCTTGTATCGGGATCCAATTCTGATTCTGGAACCTCACCTTCTTCCCTAGCCGGGGAGTTTTGCAAGCTTGGTTCTGGGGCTACAACTGGAGCCACTGGTGTAATCACGGGTGCTGCCTGAGAAAACTGCATGTTTGGAAATGATACCATTGATGTCTGAGCTGCTGGCAATGGAACTGAACTAGAAGAAGGCATAGTGAACTGAAGAGAAGAAACAAGTCTTGGATCTAGGTTAAGGGTTGATGAAGAGACTGTTGATGCTGTTGAAATTGCCTCCTGGATGAAAGAAGCAAATTAAAAGGAAATATTTTATCTATTCAATTCACATGGATAAAAAATTCACCTCCATAAGTAATAATAATTTTAAAATCAGCACTCTCACCTAATCCAAACACGCTGGAGAAAACAATAACAAATTACCTTTAGTCTTTTTTCAACCTCAGCATCGGCCATGCCATCAAATGTAAGTGGATCTTTGTTTCCAGTAGAAGCAGAAGTATCATCCTGAGAGGCATGGCAAATTTAGTAATGAACAAAGGGAAACAAAGCAACACTAGATAGTCCAATACCATATATAACCCGTAAACATTACAAGAAAAAATAGAAAAAATAAAGAAAAGAAAAAAGATCTCGTGACTAACCTCAGAGACCAAATAATTGCCCACATCTGGAGGTGAAGGAATATCTTTAATATCATCTTCATATGAAATTTCAGGAATTTTTTGAAGAAGGCCTTCGTCAAATTCTCTGTCATCAATTCCCAGGGTTATTTAATGAAAATTTTGGAAGGCATAAACAAATAAGACCAATTAAATTGCTCAAACTTGAGTTATAAGGTAGACAAGGTTATGCTGTGCAAGAGTTATTACCTGAAAAAACCACCTCTAACATTGCATGCGACGTTTCTTGCAACGCATAAAACTGGAATAGTATTATTTGCCTACAAGATAGACAGTTGCAATAAATGCATGTTGAAAAAAAGGATGTTGAACACTAACGATTATATTGTTCAAGTATGCAGTTATCAGATGTCCATAAATAGAGAACCGTTTTTGATCATGCATACTTCGGCTTGAGGAGCGAAATAAGGAGCGAATGCTGGAACAACATGCACGCGAGATTGATCTTTCTCATCCCAAACTTTTAAACGATCATCAATAACCAACGCCATTTTTGGATGGCATATTCCATCTTGAAAGACATTGAATAATGATTTCCTCAAACCTATTATGATAAATATTTATTAGTACAAAACAACCTAGAAATGAACCATTTTAGACAGAAAGTAAATAAATTTGCAAGATATGCAGCTTTACCGATAACCAGCTTACCAGATTTGACACACACAATTCGATCCAACAATTCTTTTGAATTGATCAAATTTGACTCAGGATCAAGAAGCCTCCACATTTCCAAAGCATAATCCCTTTCAGCCATTGTACAAACATAAACCTCAAATCGTTTACGCCCTCTTGCAGTCAAGTAGCTTCGCAGATCCTCCCAAGCAGGTCTCAACCTCACAAGAACACTAGTATCACGAATCTATGGGGAAAAAACAAATGCAATTAATTCAATATGTACTCGACAAAACCATGAGTGAACATGAAAATAAGTCTCTAAACGGTTAGCTGGATAAAATCCAAACAGTTCCTCATTTAGAGGATGAAACAAATCTGCATTTCACCGGAACACACAAGAAAAGATCATACAGAACATGCAGAACATTTTTATGTGGATCGGCAAAGTCCATACCTGTGGGTTGATGCGTGTCAGAATAATGTTTTTCTCTTGTAATCGAATAAGAGGTCGAACAATAGGCTGGTGATTATCTGATAAGGTGGGAACAACCTCAGACTGAATCTTAATCACCTTTCCATTTTCAACAACCTGGTCATTCTCTGCATACTGCTTTAATATTGCTTTATCATCTTGATAACGCTTAATCTCTGCCATCATACCTGCAGCACGTTGTGAATCAACCTCAGTGTTCATCTTTCGTTGCAAAGCCTCTATTCGGTCCTCAAATGAGCGCATTGTATTTGCAACAACGAGAGTTTCATCCAGATCAAATACAATTCCAAGACATCTAAGGTTCAGCATGACAAGACAAGAATCATAGAGTCCCCTTGCAACAGTGAAAGCCCAGAAACAGGGTCTATCGCTATTCCTAGAATATATCGCAACCAAATGGAGCTCACGATCTCCCAAAGGCATTACTGCAGTCTGAAAGCACAAATAGCATCTCCATAAATTCTCAAAAAATTCCAACTAGAAAAGGAGAAACATCATCGGATAACAAAACAAAGGAACATAAACATCATAAAAGTTTTCACTCAGAAATTGTAAGAAACAATTCAAGTTCATCCCAGTAGTCCAGACTATGCTAACAATAACAGGCTAATACAAGACATGACAAATGCTATAAATATGTAAAGGTGTATTCAGAGTTCTTCCATAGTAAGGTATCCACCTTAGTAAATTTAGTGATAAGGCTTCAAACAGCTCAGCACACGTTTTCTGGGCAGTTCAAATGAAGTTGAGAAAATTCTTGCAGTTCACATTTTTATAGTACATGCAATTCATGGGTTCACTCTAAAATTGTCAAGAAATTAATAATCTAGAATATCATGATTCCTCAAAAACCAGTTAATATTTCCAGTGTCTGGGCTAAATATACAAGTTTCAACAAGTCACCAAGGATTAGGGCATCAGCATCTTCAGCAAAATTGACAAAAACCTCAGAGTTCAGAAGTTCATGCATTTTCAGTTCATACAGTTCTCACAAAAAATCAAGAGCTAGAACTGGTTAAAATTCCCAGTTGTCTAGGTTTGATGCATTTTTAGCAAGTATCTTGTGCTCTGCAAAAAAAATCGTCTAGATTTCAAATTGGAGGTCCTGAAAAAAAATTGTCTGTCCAATAAAGAGTCCAGTATAGTTAGTAGCATCTGGGCAATTAAGAATAACTTTTTTGAGCTTATTGTTTGTTTTTCCAGTTCGTTTTGGCTCAATTGTTTTGTCTTTTTTTTTCAAGTTGATGGGCAATTGGTGGGCTATACCTTGTTGTCTCTGATACATTCCGAGTGCAAAAGATGAAGCGGAGGCAAGTCCTGAGAGGAAGAAGAATAGTAGTTGTTGTCCTTTGAAGATTCCATTTTGAAGCAAATCCCAGTACTAGTAATGGTATGCAACACTGCAAGTGGCGGACATCTCTCACTGCCTTGCGTCAAATATCCTATCCTGATTTCCTTCATTTCTTCTTCCATCATCATCACCGTTAATTTCCCCCCATCTTCTTCCCTTAGATGTTGTTGTGGATAAATCTCAACCTCTCCCAACACTTCCTCTCCTTGGTACACAACCGATTTGTACATACTCATCATCAGATTTCAGATCCTCAATTTCTCGTCAAATTTATCAACGAACAAAAAGTTTTTACAGTTGTTTCGATCGATTCGGTTCTCTTTAGATTTGAACAGATTTCTTGCAGATTGCGAGTTCAATAACAGTAAAAACAAAAATCAAAGGAGAAATTTAGGGTTTCTCCTCATGTTTTGGCCAGATTCGTTTTTACATAGATCTGTGCTCTCTTTTTGGGAGGTGTTCGATCTCAAGGGAAATTTTGAAAGAAAAGAAGGAAAAACTAGCAGATCTGCTTTCTTCTTCTTCGGTTCGATTGATTTGTTGATTTCAGATTTTGTAAATTTTCCAAAACAAAAATTACAGAAAAAAAATCCAATGGCTTTCTTAGGGTTAGCTTTTTGGTGACGATGAATAATTTTGAGAAAACCCTAGATCCAGTGGATAATAATAATAATGAATCTTAAACCATTATAAATTGTCATGTGATCTGTGAACGCGTCATTGGCATTGCTGTGGCGGTGGTGGGACCGGAGATGAGGGGGGCTAATCCGTAATTTTCCCTTTTTTGCCGTCATGCGAAGATGTGCTCGGGAAAATCACCTAATGGAAGGACGTCAGAGGACTGAGGAGGGATGCAATTGAATAATTGGCAAAAGTTTCGTGGAGTTATATGATATTTATTAAACTCTTGGATCGGATTAAACCTGTTGGGTAGCCGCTTTATAGGGCTTTTGTGGTTTGTATATTTGCTTCCGTCTGGTGCTTTTTGACCGCTTCCGTCAGGTTAAGATTTTTTTTACCCTAAAAAACGAAATTTTCTATTTTTTAAAAATTTAAATTTATTAGGATTACATTTATTTTTAGTTAAAAGGTAAATTAAGTTCTTTTTGTAATTTTAGACAATAATATTTAATAACCATTATGATATATTCAGTTATATCTATTTATTTTTTCGATCTCTATTTCAGTTTGATCTGTTGAATTAACCCTGATATTATTACTAATTACAATGTAATTATTTTATATTTTATTTCTTATTTTCCTACGTAAACTTATATACTTTATATTAATAAATAGTAGTTTGATTAGATCAGATCGATCGAAATTATAAAATATTTTGTTATAAAACCTCAATTGCGTGAATAAATTGATGTATAGATAAGATCAGAGACCATGGATGGAACTCCCTTAGAGCTAAACGGGTCTCGTCCTTGTTAAAATTTGTATATTCAGTATAATTTTGGTTTAATATTATTTTAGTTTATGTAAAAATAAATATTTAAAATATAAAATTTTATTAAATATTTGATCAAGTAGTGGTCGAACTAAAGAATGATAAATATGTATTCTCAAATTTTTAGTCTAATTATAATTTAGGTCGTTGTAAGTTTAAATATTAGACAAATTAGAAGTTGTCTTGTGAATTTTAAGATTTTTATTATAAATTTAAGGTGAATACAAAGTAGTATATGTACAAAGACTTTTAACTATTTGATTAATAATTATTTCAATAAACATTGATTATTTTTTATTAGGAACAATTGTGAAATATGAATTCTATAGATTTTGATTGGATTAAATTTTATAAAATAAAAAAATTAAACTTATATCAAATCATATTTAATTTATCTTTGATTTATTTTGATATGAGATAATAATATAATTCTCTCTTACACATTTAAAAAAATCGGTACATAAAAGTTTAGATCAGGGGTGACTCTCTAAATACTAAGTCAGGATATACCTAAGACTCAATTATGATTTATATAGGAAATTACATATTTCCCACCAATAATTATAGTGGTAGGATTTAAACTTGGCCTTACAAACTCAAATTCCTAAATCACAACCACTTATGCCAACACTCATTAAATTTTTCAATCTTAAGATATTGCAAGTAAAATATTTTTCGTTGTTTGGTTAACTTTTCTGAAAATTATTTTCGAAATCTATTTTCAATAAACAAACATACATATTTCATAATTTTTCTTATTTTTGTAACACCCCAATTTAGGGGTTAAATTTAAGAAATTATAAAGTGGTAGATTTAATTGGTATTTTAAAAGAAACGATGGATTAAATTGTAAAATTTCAAAGTTGACAGATCGTTTTAAGAAGTGCAGGAAATTCAGTGCCTAAACTAATGATTTGACCATTTTTCTTTTGGGCTGAATTATAACCACATTTCTTGTGTATTCTGTAGAAAAAAATACTTCATTTTCCTCCCCTCGTCAACCCACTTCCAACTCCGATTTACTCCTCGTCATACCTCCGATCAATGAACTGAAACCACCATCGTGTTCGTTGTTGACCGAAGAACAAAATCCCTCAATCCTTTCGTCGTGAATCGTTTCCGTTCGTCGTTAATTTCTGTCGGAAGTATCGTCAGTAATAACTCGATTTCAGTTGGTTTTTCATCGATTCACGATGATCCGGTCATCCGTTTTCGACACCTCCCTCACCATCGTGTTCCTTGCGTCGTTCCGCATCTACTGGTGTCCTCCGTTTCTCTGTCGTCGCCGTCGCGTAGAGGGGTGAGACCGTCAAAGTTTTCGGCGTTTAGAAATCGAGCTCTCCGCCGTTCAAAATTGTGAACCGAGCTTGGTAAGTGTCTCAAAATGCATTAAAATAATTTTTAAGAATTCTTTCGAGAATTTTTCGATACCGTGTTACAGTTCACGCGACGCACGCGCCATCCCGGAGAGTGGGCATCGTCTGGTTGTAATTAATTTCTATTTGGGTGCTATTTGTGTAAAATTCGGGTGTTAGTTTCGTAAATATTTACAGAAGGTGGCTAATTTTGTAATTAATTTTTGTTAGGGTGATATTTGTATAAAATGGTCGACTGTTGACTGTTGACCAGCGTTGACCACTGTTGACTAGAACTTTGACCGGCGTTAAACGACCTTTGACTTTAACCTAGTATATCTATCCTGATGTTTTTCGACGTTCTGAATCCAATTCCGTAGTCTGTTTTTCGAAATTCGGACCCAAAGGCCTCGAAATTGCCAGTCAAACCCGTTGACTTTGATTTTGACCGAAAAGTTAAAATTTTCGAAAAGTCATATTTTAGGTTTTTCGACGTCCTGAATTCGAATCTGATGTCTGTTTCGCCAAATTCGAACCCGGTAAGTTGGTTTTCACTAATTAATCACCCGATTCGATCCATTTATCGTAATTAAACTCCGTTTTTATATAATTTATGTTGATATGGATCCGAGGAAATATTGGAAGTTGAATTAAAGATCAAAGGCGTTCGAATGTAATTTATATGGTCGATCAGTATGGCACGAAAATCGAGGTAATACTTTACTTCCTCTTTATGCTTTATGAAACATTTGAATATTGGTAAATGCATGATTAAGATAATGTTAGTCTCATTTGTGTAGTTAATTAATTTTTACATTCAATCTGAATACGATAAAAAGGTTCAGTAATTGATTATGGTTCAGATAACTTTTATAAGAAATTGAGGGATTGTTAGAATTAAATTACAAGTTATGTGCTTAGTGATAAAGAAATCAACCTGGATCCTGGATCTGTAACTATAATTTATTTCATCAAAGGTTAAATGTTAAAGGTACTTTGATGAGAAATTATGAGAATATTTCAGTAGGGTAAAATTACAAAATACCCTTATGTTATAAAAAGACAAGATTTGAATATGGAAGTTGAATAAGAGATTTTTACAGACATATTGATCTGATAAAAATATTGATGTGCATAAGAAATGTTAGTTTTACTTGGAAATTATGGATAACCGGTTTTTAACCCCAATAAAGTTTGTGCAAGATACTAGAAGTTTGTTAAGGAATCATCAAGATTTAAGAATGTTCTGAAAAGAAATTAATCATAGGATCTTTGAATTATAGTTATTTTCTTAAAGAGTTAATACTGAAATTATCTGGTTAAGAAATTATGAAAATGCCCTTGAGAGGTAAAATAGTCCGAGTTGACCCTGAATGAGAAAGTACTTTAAAGATTTGTACTTAACTTGATTAAGTACGAATTTGATTGTTAAGATCCTGACTTAGTGCAGAAAAATTCTTGATATTCCGTAGGTAAAAATCTGAGAAGGCACTTGACCCGGAAATATCCGAGTTACGAGTAAATACCTGAAGAACAATTTATCGGGGTGTTCTTTTATCAGAATTGTTCGAAGTGACTAAAATAGATGATAAATTGGTATTAAATAATAAGACAGGATGGAAGGAAATGATTAAAATACATCGGATAGAATGACCAGAATACCCCTGTAATGGAAATGACTCAAGAATATCACCAAACTCAGGAATGGTTGGATATCCTCGAGCTCTGAAATGAATGGAATAAAACTGAACAGCAAAATTACCAAAATAACCTTATGACCTAAACTAAGTAAATGTCTTGGATTAATTAAAGAATCAAATAGGCATAGGTGTTGGACTACCTTTAAAAGTAATGGAACATAATTTAAGTGAGTAGATCAACCCTAAAGCTATGACAATACCTGGATGGAATAGATATTACTTGAATACGTGTTCGTCTTCTCAAGTTTGGCTCGATGATAAATTTTGGAAGTATTCAGCTCAGCTCAACTCTAGATCGCATTCAGTACTAAGAATTGAACGTTTGTTCGACAAATCAACCACGAAGACCAAATTGAATGGAACGGAAGTACAACATGTATCTGAAATTCAAAAACATTTGAATTACTCTAGAAAATCCCGAAGTAACTGGAATATACATGACTACCAAATGAACTAGGTAACCTCAATGAATGAGGATTTAGTAAGTGATTTGGATAAGTCTGGAAACTCTGATGAGTTTACATAGTGTACAATTACAATGGGTTATGAACAAATTAATCATGTACGTCAAAATTACATGATATTGTGGAAGCGTGGAAATGAAATAAAGACATTGGAAGATATATTCAGCGATGATTCCGAAAATGATCTATGTACAATAATTTGTGGAATTAAAGAGTAAATACCCTGGAAGAACAATGAATTGACCAATCGACAAGCATTAGTTCTGGGAACTATTCATCTAAGAGTTGTCCGATAATCCGATCAATTGACATAGAATGTAAATGTCATGAACCTTCATTTCTTCCTTATCAGCTCAAGTCACATTCTGAATAACTGATGATTATGTCAGTTATTGAACTCTTCCAATAGTGATTCTGAATTTCGATATTCTATCGGTATACTGAAGATCCGTGTTCCTCTACTTGTTAAGATTATCCAATATCTTTGAATAATATCTGTAAATTCTGCTGTGTTCCCTACTCACATGAATATTTTATCTGATTTTCGATTTAAATTCTGATCTGATACTTGACATGGATTCTAATATGATATCTGACATGGATTCTGATATGATACTTGACTTGGATTCTAATCTCATACATGACCTGGATTTTGATATGATACTTGTCATGAATTATGTTTTGATTTTTGATATATCCGTTTATGGATGGAACATGTTTTATTTGGGGGGTATTGTTGGAGGAAGTATATCTGGAGGCTCCTCGGCCGTGTGCTCAGGGCCTTACTGGACGTGACAGGGTTGTATGGTTCTGGGGAACCTACACATTTTGTACGTGACGGATGGGGGTATATATATATATGTTTTAAAAGAATATGTATCTTTTTACTATTTTTACGGAAACACACTAGATAACCTATTTTGATCTCCTGAACTCAGTCATCTGAAATATTTCTCTGAACTGAAAGCTCATTGTCCGTTACCACATGAAATATCAGTAAGATCTAAGCTCAACATAAAAATCTGTAAATGTTCGAAACCAATAAGAAAATATATGTTTATTTGTATATGCACGTTCTCCAGCATCATCTGGCAGTTCTGTATTACTGAGCTTTCCGAAGCTCATTCTGTAACTCATCTTTTCAGGCTAAAAGAATTGTACCAGTGCAACTATCGACTTTAGTAAGGGAGATCTTCTGGTGTTGCTTACAGAGTACGGTACATGTGATTAGGGGGTATGTAATTGTATTTTGTTTTATATATGAGTCTGGAAACTTGTTTTATTTATAAACACTGATAAGTCATTTTTTGAGCTTACAAGTTTTAAGAAAAGTTTTAAATTTTCCGCTATTTTTACGGTGGGTCACTCCGGTCACTCCAATGGTCTAATGTGACACTCCAGATCGATCGGGTTACTCGCATCGGTCTGAGAGGGTTATAATTTTTTACTTTAATTAAGTTAATCTTATTGTTATAAATTTATATTTCACAAAAATTTTAATCTAAAGTACAATGGTTTATTTCTATAAGTATGCAAAATTAAATTTATAAATAATGTGGATAATTTATGTTGATTGTGCACTTATATTTATTGAAAATATACTTCTACTATATTTACATTGGAAACAATAAATATCGATATAATACTATATCTATCGACAATCAAAATACATAAATTATACCATATAACGTTAAAACAATAATATTATAAAAATATATAATTAATCATTCACCGCATTAAAACAATAATATCATCCAACCATAATAAGACAATAATATTATAACTCTTGATTACATTAAATATTGTAACAATCCAACATCATTCTCTAAGAGAGTCTTATTACATCAAATATAATAAAAAAAACAATGTAGCTCTTGATTTAAGACGTCTGATGCAGTTCCATACTTTCCATTTATGGAGGAGTTACGGATACAATCCTTTCTAATTGGAGATATTAAAAATAAAAATGGTTGCACGAACTAACTTACCTCAGTAGTTAAAGTAATCTTTGTTGTTCTTAGAGGTCACGGATTCGAGCACCAACGACTACAACAAGGTGATTGAACGTTCAATGTCAAATGGTTGAGAGTATTTAGAACATATAATTTTTTGTAATCACCTTAGCTTAATCAAAAAAATATAGAATAAAGAGAGAACAAACTAAGAATCAATACCAAATATTTCAGTAAAAAAATTATAAAAAATCAATCAAACTTTTGATTAAATAAAACAAATTCAAAACATGACAACAATGAATATGTATAGCTTTTAGTAATTCTACAATTCAACCTAATAATTACCGATGCATATATTAACTCTCTTAATACTAAGAAACACCTGAAAATTTTGATCATTTTTGTCTTGGATATATATATATATCTAACATAATAGTTTGCTGATATTCATTCTTGAATCAACACAATAAAACAAAAACAACATCAAAAAAGCAAGACCAAAATTTTCTCATATTTTCTCTTTTGTGAAGATAAAGAAGAAAATCAATTAGAATTAATTTACATTTACAACTTATCTAACATATAAACAACCAATCACAACTTATCTGATATTGTAACAATTTAATGTAATAACCCAACCTACTGTTATCTAAGCCACTAGAATCAACTAGGATGACTTAATCAATATGGACATTCACCTAAACACAATCCTTAGCAACTCTAACTTCCCACAATCAACATTTTTGCGTTCTTTTAACCAAATAACATATGTTAAAGAATAACGTAAATTTCTCCATAAACAGTAAGCACGTATTCAACAATTTCTTCATCTGTCTTTACTTTTATTTTGTAAAATTCTTTCCCATATAAAGGCAATTAAAAAATAAAGGATGATCATAACATGAAAATCCGAATTGTAGAACTACTGAATTTTCAGCATGCAATAAATAAAACACTGAGAAATAATCAACTCTGAATGATCAAGTAAAACAGGGTATCATATGTCCACAAACACAATAGTCCCAAGTTGTTATACTCTATAGTTTTTCTAACTTAATTTATAACATATGATTGTCTTTATAACTCTGAATAACATATGATTGTTGAGAGAAAATTCATTTTCCTCACTCATTTTAGTTTTTCTCTTATGAGAACCCTATTCTTTTGGGTTCCTCCATTGTCGGAGGAAAAGCTTGCTTATACATTTCTTTAAATCCTACATTATCAAGGTTGGTGTAGGCATCAGATTCAGTCCAAACATATCAAAATTTATCATCAATTGGATAAACCCAAAACATACCCAGATCGAAAAACCAATCAAATGGCTTGAATTTGAACAAGATTCAAAATAAGAAAACATAAAGCTGAAGAACAAAAGGGAGAAGAAGTGAGAATTACCTTGGCAGCATTGAAAGCTTCTTCCGATTTTTGAAGCTAATGCATTACTTGAAGCATAAATATGCATAGTGAAATCGATAAATCCGAAATGTAGTAAAATCGATAAATCTGCATATCTATTTCAACAAGTAATTTAGGATTATCTTTAACTATAAAATCGAAGCTATTAGTAAAAATCGATGGTGAGAAAAAGGTAACAGAAATGATAATGGGATGCTTTCTGCATAACTATTTGAAGCATGCATCTGAAATTACATAAGGGTAATAAATACTGTTATTACCTGAGAAGATGAATAGTCGCCTGAGCAGTCGTCGCCGACGAGAGGGAGACGGTGCTATTTGGTCGGATGATTTTGAGCATCAAAAACTTTCGAAGTTAAAATTGAACGTTGTAAAACAACTTACCCATTTTCAGTCGGTAAGTTGTTTTACGGAAAACAAAGGTCTTCATTTTCTTTGACCATAAAACGTTGACCTTTGAGTTTTCCTTCAGCCCAACACGGGAACACTAGGAAAATAATTTCCTTCAACAATAACAATAATTTCTCTAATTACTAAAATAACTTAATTTATATAATTAAATAAAAGAATTTACATTAAAACTTGACTCAAAATTTAAATAAGATAAACTCTTCCTAAACTCATATTTAAATTAAAGAAATATATTTTTCGAAATAAAATTAAGGGTAAGTTACAAAATTTTCATTGAATTTTACTATCTCCGATTTTATTCAGTCTACTTTCAATTTTTTTTATTTTTTCATTGAACTTTACAGATTAAATCATTGTGCTCACTCTGTCGTTAAATTTAAACGACATGATGACGTGTTTTTTATATTATTTAATATAAATATTGAAAAATATAAAGGGTAAATTACACCGATTCTCACTGAACTTTACTGTATCTCCTATTTTGCTTACCCAGCTATAAAATAAAAACATAAGGTGATCAAATGCTACCTGCGGCCACCGTCGGCCGCTATAGATAGTGGTCGTTCAGTCCCAAATTTCATGGGTCGCTTCACCTCGACACATTGAGTCCAAATCCAACCTTATTTTTGTCAGAACTTACTCCAAAGTCCACGAATTGGAGATTGAAAATGAGGAAGTCGAAATGTTTCAGTCGAGATTCATGGATTTTGAGACATTTTACGGTGAAACAACCACTAGATTCGTACTCAGTGGTCAAGACAAACAGACCTCTGAATTTTGAGACCGAACAATCACCATCAACGACGATCGACGGTGGCTGACAGTGGCATTCGACCACCTTCTTTTTTTTTTTATAGTTGGATGAGCAAAATAGTAGATAAAATAAAATTCAGTGAAGAATAGTGTAATTGACAATTAAATAATAAAAAATGACACGTCATCACACTATTAGAGAATTCACGACAGATGAGTGAAAACGATTCAGTCTTTAAAGTTAAGTAAACAAAATAAAAAAAATGAAAGTACTGTAAATAAAATAGGATATAACGTAAAATTCAATGAGAAATAGTGTAATTTACCCTAAAATTAATAAAAAAATTGTCTTCCATAAATTAAAACATTTCCTATAACACAACGAGTTTTCCTAAATAGGCCGAAAATATAGTTCAGAATTGGATTTAAAAAGCAATAAAGAACCATTGGCTTGTAATAAATGGGTCGATAACTAAAATCCCAAATCCAACCCAGCTTGTTCTTAACCTTCTTCCCTACTTATCCTTCGATTTCTCTCTAATTTGAGACTCAGATAAAAAAATTCGCGACGAAACGATAAGCTTTTCGCGATACCCAGGTTAGTCTTTGTTTCTCTTCATTCGTTCGCCCTCTTTGTTTCCAGGGTATATTCATATCTCCGACGTTAAGGCAGTGCCGTTTCGTTGGCGCCGGTGCCATATCTGTTTCTTTCACATTTTTGTTTTGTTTTGAAATTCGTGTTATCCGATTTTCGCCCCAAATTTTAAAAATTAAAATAATGGTGTTGCATGCAGGGAATGGGAAAAATTGGTTTTTCCAGTCTATCTAGGTTAGATTTTAGATCGTAGTAAGTGGTTTTATGGAATCGTTGCTTTATCATTATTCTGCTATGATGTTTATTATTTGATTATGTGATTTATAAATGATAATGGTAAAAGAGCTGAAGAAGGAAGCTAGATGAGCAAGTTAAGGACCTGAGGTTTCAAAAGTACACCTCTTGAGTTGTTAAGTATATTTCAATTGAAATTGTTTTACAGTTAAAAATGTCACTAATTATTATACCATATACGAGTTTATAGGGTGTACGAAAACCCTGCTATATGGGTTATGTGCTTGCTTTGTATATGTTTTAATAGAGTATCTCATCATAATTCCTTTGTAGATGTGTAACGGAATTTGCTTTGTATATGTATTTAATGAATGTTCAAACTGGTTTTTGGTATTCCCTTCATCTGCTTGTGTGTGTACGAGCCAATGCATTCGTGTGTGTGTGTTTGTGTGATGAATGTTCAAACTGGTTTCGTACAACTTATTAATTGGTTTCAGAAGTGGAACAAGCTTTCACAGCGTAGAAGGGTGTCCGGGTGATCATGGCAGACTTAGAAAATTTGCTTCTTGAGGCAGCGGGAAGAACAGGTACTGGAGGGAGAAACCAACACTCTCATCCACCGTCAAGAAGGCGACGTGAGGGTTCATATTCAGATGGGGGAAGTGACTCTAGGGATGATGATTCAGATGATGATCATGGATATGCAAATAGAAAACCATCCGGGTCTCAAGTTCCATTGAAGAAGAGGCTGGACACTGCTGAAAGAGATGATGATCAGGGCAGTCAGGAAGAAGGCGATTACGGTGATGCTGGTTCTGGCCGTGAACGTGATAGCAGTGATGAATCTGATGTTGGTGATGATCTTTACAAGAATGAGGAAGACAGGCGACAGCTGGCACAATTGACTGAACTGGAGAGAGAAATGATTCTGTCTGAACGTGCAGATAAGAGAGGTGATAAGAAATTTACTGAAAAGATTAGATCGAAGCGGGAAAATGATAGGCCTAGCCGATCACGGAGAGAGACCCCACCTCTTCCTTCTTCTCGTGGAGTGCGGTCATCGGCTAGATCTGCAGATAGAGCTGCTGCTAAGGATGATGCCCTGAATGAGTTGAGAGCAAAACGACTGAAGCAGCAAGACCCAGAGGCACATCGTAAGTTGAGAGATGCATCTAAAGGCAGTTCTGGTGGCCGAGGATCATCACCAGTCAAGCGGAAACCCTTCATTGCATCAAGTCTAAGTAGCTCTAGTCAGAGTGAGAGTGAAAGTAGGTCCAACAGTGAAGACGAAGGGTCAACTGGAGATGGTGGAATGGCTGATAGTGAGGATGAGAGGGGCACATGGGGACCAGATGGACCAACATTTAATGATATTAAGGAAATTACTATCAGAAGGTCTAAACTTGCAAAATGGTTTATGGAGCCATTTTTTGAGGAGTTGATTGTGGGTTGTTTTGTTAGAGTTGGTATTGGAAGGTCGAAAAGTGGCCCTATCTACAGGCTCTGCATGGTCAGAAATGTTGATGCCACAGATCCCAATCGGACATACAAATTAGAGAACAAGATGACATATAAGTACTTGAATGTTGTTTGGGGAAATGAAAGTTCTGCTGCCAGGTGGCAGATGGCTATGATTTCAGACTCCCCGCCACAAGAGGAGGAGTTTAGACAATTGATTAGGGAGGTGGAGCGAAGTGGGGGCCGGATGCCGAGCAAGCAAGATGTATTGGAAAAGAAGGAAGCATTACAGAAGGCCAAAACTTTTGTCTACTCTGCGGCTACTGTAAAGCAGATGTTGCAGGAGAAAAAATCCTCTTCATCTAGACCGTTGAACATTGCGGCAGAGAAGGACCGATTGAGAAGGGACCTGGAAATTGCACAAGGCAGGCATGACGAGGCAGAGATTGAGAGGATTAAGAAGAGACTGCAGCATCTGGAGGCTTCCCGGCAGTCACAAGAGAAAGATTCCAAGGCTATTAGGTTGACTGAGATGAACCGAAAGAACAGAGTTGAGAATTTCAAAAATGCATCAGGTTTGAAACCCATAAACACTGGTTTAAAAGCAGGAGAGGCTGGCTATGATCCATTTTCAAGGAGGTGGACTAGATCAAGGAATTACTATAATGCAAAGGCTCCTGGAGGAGATGCAGCGGCGCCAGTTAATGGTGGCACAAATGGCAATGATGCAGGTGCTGCTGCTGCAGAGGTTGGCAGGGCAGCCACAGCAGCTGCCTTGCAGGAAGCTGCTGGCGCAGGGAAATTGATTGACACAAGTGCCCCCGTTGATGAGGGAACAGAGTCTAACATGCTGCACAACTTTGAGCTTCCAATCTCATTGGAAGCTCTTCGGAAGTTTGGTGGTCACGAGGGTGCTGTGGCAGGATTCATGGCCAGGAAACAAAAGATAGAAGCAACTGTTGGATGCCGAGTCCCCGAGAATGATGGGAGGAGACACGCCCTTACCTTGACGGTTAGTGACTACAAGAGAAGAAGAGGGCTTCTTTAGAAAGTAATAATTTATATTTTCCTATTTGTGCTCTTCTTGAAGAGGGAAGTTCGACTGTTGGTGGCACAGTGTTTGCTTATTGTTTTAATTGTTTTCTGGGTGTATGAGTATGTTGTTTTCGGTTCATAAAATAATGGTTTGACTACTTGCAGCTGATATCTAAGTTCTGAAGTTTCTTTTGATATGCAGAATATAACAGTTTATACCTAAATAAAAAAGAGGAAAATGGAAGTGATATAGGATATGATACGTTTAATCCATAAGTTTGTTTGTCATTAGTCCTTGTATTATACACAAACTGTGTGTTTAGTATCTGAATTTTATTATGGATGTCAATTTTAGTCTTGTATTTTTTAAATTTGAAATTTTAGTTATAATTCAAACAATTCCAGGATTTAACGTAATTTTCTTATATTCATAGCTTAACTAGTTCACTCAACTTATTATAGCAGAGTATGAGCTCTACGTGTGCCCTTTACAGCACATCCAATCACTCCACTGTCAACGGTCCAGGTAACTCCACGTTTCATCCAACCCCACCCATTTAAGTAATTCCGTTCTCTTCCCATGCTTCTATATATCATTAACCGCTTATCAAAATTCAAAAGCAACCCGTAGCTTCCCTTACAATACAAAAATCATGTAATTATATATATATATATATATGTATGAAATTACAAATTTGTTCCCTTTAGATCATGGTATTGTGGCCATGGTTGGAGCCACAAGATCCATAATGAAGAAGCAACAGCAACAGCAAGAACCGGAGCCATTGAAGTGTCCGTGGTGTGATTCCACCAATACAAAGTTTTGTTATTACAACAACTACACGAAGTCACAGCCTAGGCATTTCTGCAAGGCTTGTAAGAGGCATTGGACCCAAGGTGGCGCTCTCTGCAACGTTCCAGTCGGCGGAGGCCTCAAGAACAAACAGCTGAAGACATCGAATGCCCGCAAAACCACCACTGCCATGCCAATTCAATGGCGGCGGCAGCAGCAAGGAGCTTCCGGTACCATCTTCATTGCAGCAGAATCCTCTCGATTGCAGCTACAGGGAGGTGTTCTCTTTCCCGAGTTTGGATTCGTTCGACACGACCACGTCTTTGATATCGACCTCGTTTCAACCACCGAGCACTGATGACTACACTGGAGAACCGATGAAGGATCCGAGTGGCAATGTTTCACGGACATGGCAAGTGCCTGTTGCTAGTAATGGCATGGACATGGCAAATGTGTGGAATTTGGATGATGTTGATGCACTTGTCTCAACTGACATCAACATATCATGGGATGATGATGATTCTGAGATCAAATCATGATTTTTTGTTTCAGATTCACCTGATCTCCAGGTTCTAGTTGTACATCTTTTGTACACTTTACATACTAGTTTTTCTCTTATGGGGGATATGTCATGTATGTGAGATGGGGGTCACTTTCCAGCTATGCCGAGCAAACTGGATGTGATGGAAGTTTCTTGTGGATATGCATATGTCTGAGTACATGATGTGGGGCCACTTCTTGAGAAATCATTCCTTTTACTTTGTCCGCTTGTAAAGTGGTATTTTCTTGTTCTATTGCTATAAATAATACCATAAATTAAGAGAAAATTATACAGAAGTAGAGAGTATTTTAAATTCTAAATTCTTAGATATATATAGTTGTGCAAATATAATAATCGTAATTAAATAAAATTATATTATTCCACGAGAAATTTAGTTATTCCATTTTTTCTTTTAATTCAATTCTTTATCAAACAAATGATATCCTATACTTTTAATCTAAATTAAACAAAATTCAAATCATGGAACTTTAACATCATACCTATAATAAACAGTATGGTATGTTTTAGTTCAAACATTATCCAGAGCATCATGTGGGATATTGGGGCCACAGTTTCCTGATTTGTTTTATAGCACCGCCTTCCTTGAATTCAATTCCATTCTCCAATCCGACTATATCAATCACTTTCAAATATTTTTAGAGTCGAATTCAAACATGATACACAATACTGGATATCAATTGATGTATTTCTACAATTCTGCACAGGGTCTCTTTAAGAGGGGTTTCGAAACCTACATTTTAAAATATTTGACCGTTGGCATGGAGGTTTCGATACCTTTGACTATTTTTGCATTCTGTCATAGGTGTTTCGAAATCAGACCCAAAATTGCGTGTTTCACTTTTTAAAAACTTAAAAACTTTGAATTATTTTTGCAATGTTTGAACAAATTCAATTGAGTCCAAAACACATTTTGCTCTTATTTGTTATATCAAAATATAGGTTCAACAAAAGGGAATGAAGATGTTGGTGGTGAAGGCAATGGATATATTGGCGGTGAAGGCAATGATGATGCCGATGGAGGTCGTGGTCTTGGTGGTTTTTTGGCAACCACTTCTTTATCTTTCAACAACTTGGAAGGTTGCATCTCTGGTGGTGGTGATGGCAGTGCTGCATTTGGTGAGAGCTTTGTTTTATCACTAGCATTGTTTGAATTAGAAAGCGGAACATCTAATTTAGCATTTCGAAAGCTGAAATCTCCGGTTTCATCAACAATTAATGCTTTTCTCACCGGAAAATTCCCCATTACTTCTTTCTTTTGTTTCTCATTGGTAACTTCTTTTGGTTCGAAGAGCTAGGAACATGGACTCGAACCTTGGGAAGCATATTTAACGGGAGCTGCTTCACATCGTCAGGGTTCAGTTTTTCTGTGGCTTGAACCCTGATCGGCAACATAGCAGATGATGAGGATTTTGGTGAACCATTCGCCCTCTCGGGAAGTACTGAAGTTGGTGTCACAGGAGAAGGGCAACTTGAGCTGTTATCCGAATAAGATTTCCTTCAAGAGCTTTCCGAACGTTTTCGCCTTCAAACTGAACTCCTTGTTCTCATCATCTTCATCGGTCATATCGAATTTCTCTCTCGCTATCATAATCAATCCATTGAGTGTTTCCACAGCAATTTCAACTGCCAAAGTCAAAATGTAAGAACACTATATAGTCATCACCAACATGGAAGAACAACGTCCGGAAATTTTACTGCATACCGAGTTTATAAACTTTTTTGCATTTTTCATTGTCATTCTCATATATATCATATTTGTATTTGTAGAAAACAGACTGTGTAGAAAACAGACTGTAGAAAACAAACAAGTCTGTTATTTTTATTCTTGTGTACATTCATTCAGCAGAACATATTACATATTTATATACAAATTATGCCTCTAAACTAGGAAACTCTAAGAAAGGAAACTAATCCTAGGAGATGTAATCCCTTGAAATAAGGGATTGAAAAACAGAAAATAATTACAGAATCTCTTAACTTAAGGGATTGACAACTCATTTCTATAATTCCTACACTCCCCCTCAAACTTGTGTATATATGTTGTATATACCCAGTTTGAATGACATCTTATCAAAAGTCACTCGTAGAAGGGCTTTGGTGAAGATATCTGCCAGCTGTTTCTTCGTCGGAATGTACTGTAGTTTTGCAACTCCATTGTTGACCTTCTCGTAAATAAAATGTCTGTCTATCTCAATGTGTTTCATTCTATCATGCTGCACTGAGTTTTTTGCTATACTCATAGTGATTGACTGTCACTAAAAATCTCAAAATTCTTCTTTTCATCTAAGTCCAGTTCTGTGAGCAGTCTTTTAATCCACATTCCTTCACATATTCCGAGAGCCATTGCTGTAAACTCTGACTCAACACTACTTCGAGAGACAACAACTTGTTTCTTACTTCTCCAAGTCACCAAATTACCCCAAACGTAGGTACAGTAGCCACTAACTGACCTTCTATCAGTTAATTCACCTCCCCAGCTTGCATCCGTATAAACATTTACTGTTCTGTCTTGATTTTTTCTAAATATAAGTCCAGCTCCTGGGGTAAATTTCAAGAACCTTAAAATTCTGTTAACAACTTCCAAATGTTCTTCTCGAGGATCACTCATATGTTGGCTGACAATGCTCACTGAGTATGCAATATCAGGCCTGGTCAGTGAAAGGTAGATTAACTTCCCAACTAACCTTTGGTAGGTTTCCTTGTTTACTGGATTTCCAGTCCTTTCCTTGCAAAATTTCAAGCCTGGCTCCATTGGAGTTTCAACTAGTTTGCAGTCGAGCATCCCAGTTTCTGCAAGAAGATCCAAAACATACTTTACGCTGGTTTATGACCAGCCCTTCCTCGGACCTTGCAACTTCCATACTCAGGAAATACCTCATACTCCCTAAATCCTTGGTTTCAAACTCCTTTGCAAGATTCATCTTTAGTTTTTCTATTTCTTCTATATCACTACCAGTTATAATTATATCATCTACACATAGACAATTAGGAGGGTTATCTTACCACTCGGTGTAATTTTTCTGAATAATGTGTGATCCGCTTGGCTTTGTTTGAAACCATTCTGTGTCATAGCCTTAGCAAATCGATCAAACCAAGCCCTGGGAGACTGTTTTAAGCCATATAAGGATTTATTAAGCTTGCACACAGTTTTCTTAGTGACCTTTCATTCTAATCCGGGGGGGGGACCTCCATGTATACCTCTTATTCAAGGTTCCCATTCAGAAAAGCATTCTTTATGTCCAGCTGATGCAATTTCCAGTCCATGTTAACAACTACTGATAACAATATTCTGATGGTATTCAATTTTGCAACCAGTGCAAAAGTCTCCTGGTAGTCGATGCCATAGGACTGAGAAAAACCTTTAGCAACCAGCCTTGCCTTGTATCTTTCCACACTCCCATCCGAATGATATTTGACTGTGAATATCCACCTATATCCAGCATCTCTCTTCCCTTTTGGAAAATCTGTCAAACTCCATGTCTTATTCTTTTGCAACGCTTTTATCTCTTCTTCCACAACCTTTTTCCGCTCAGGAGATTGAAATGCTTCTGTCACATTTCTTGGGATTTTCACAATGTTAATGCTGGCAGTGAAGGCCCTGAAATTATACTGTAATTTCCCATATGCAACATACTTATTTATGGGATGAGCAGTGCATTTTCTTACCCCCTTCCTAATAGCAATAGGAAAGTCATCAAGATCAACAGTAGTAGCCTTTTGGTAACCATCATTACCTTCTGTTTCAGCTGCAACAGGATCTGAATCTGGTTCTTGGCAAATGCTAGGCTGATTGATTTCTTCAGCAACATCTTTCCTTCTTCTTGAGTAAACACTGAGTTGTTTCGGTTGGGGAGTTATGGTTTCAGGGTCATTGTTAGGTGCATTTTTGGTAGTGGTGGAAGGTGTTTTGCACGGACTAGAGTGCTGAGATAAGGAGGAAGGCAATTCATCAGAGTTATTTAGGTTATTCCCATCACCCTCCCTAGGAACTGGGACAGTGCTAGCCGGCTTTGAAGAGACAGTAATAGGTAAGGAAAGGATAGGCTGTAAAGAAATATCGGTTTGAACAGTTTGAAATTTCTTGTAACTAATAGGCTGTAAAGAAATATCGGTTTGAACAGGCTGAAATTCTTTGTAACTCTCCCCCTGAATTACTGTTCCTGAAAAATAAGGTTGGTTTTCAAAAAATGTAACATCAAAGGAGACATATGTCTTTTTTGTGGAAGGTGAGTAACACTTGTAACCCTTCTGACTCGAAGAATAGCCTAAGAACACACACTTTATGGACCTAGGATCTAATTTCCCTCTATTGTGGATATGAACAAAGGTTGTACACCCAAATACCCAAGGAGAAAGACTTGAGTTTAAATGTTTAAAATGGAGATACAGCTGAAACAGAACCTTAGTAGGAATTTTGAAATCTAAGGTCTTACTTGACATTCTATTGATGAGGTAAGTGGTTGTAAGAAGAGCATTCCCCCAAAGATACTTAGGAGCATTAGCAGCAAACATAAGAGACCTAGTAACCTCTAGAAGATGTCTATTTTTCCTTTCTGCTACCCCATTTTGTTGAGGTGTGTTGACACAAGAAGTAAGGTAAACAATGCCTTTTTCCTTAAAGAAATACCCAAGGGTTTTATTCAAATACTCACTCCCATTGTCACTCCTTAGAATTTTGATTTTTGTGTCAAATTGGGTTTCAACTTTTTGATAAAAACTTTTAAAGAGAGACTCAACCTCAGTTTTTTCTCTCATTAAGAAAACTCATGTTGTCCTAAAGTAATCATCTATAAAAGACACAAACCACTTATACCCAGAAATACTTTTGACAGGAGAAGGGCCCCAAATGTCACTATGGATGATGGAAAAAGGTGTTGTTGGTTCAAATTTTGCTGGAATATATGGTTTTCTGGTGTGTTTGGCCATTTGACAAATTTCACAGGAAAACAAAGATGAATCTTTATTAATGAATAAGTTCAGTAACATTTTGGAAAGATAGAACAAATTAGGATGACCTAATCTAGAGTGCCATAACATAATTTTATTGGTATTGAGATCAGAAGATAAAATTGGTTTCCTAAGAGCACTGGATAAGGCATGATTATGAGATGCTTTACCTCCAGGGTGTACAATCCTTTGCCCAGCCTAGCACTGCCAATCACCCTCTTCGAGCCCCGTGCCTGAAAAATGCA